TTAATTGAGGTAGATATGCAACCAACTTCCTGATAAATATTGGATACATCCCTACCTGCCATGGGTGTGATTTGAATCACAGTGGCAAGAAAAATTCCAGAGGTTCTATTTTATATTACAGTGAAATTTGTGAATGTATTTGAAATACACTTCGAAACTCAAAAATGTTTTGAAAAAAAGTCTCCAATTTTAGTAGTTTCAGATGAAGTTATTTCTGAAAGAATGCCAAGTACACTAAAATATCATCGAAAGTTATCAAAAGGCTGAACCTGGAAAGAGCCACTCCACCAGGCATACCAACCCAAGACTGAGGCCAGTCTGGTCTACACAGTCAGTTCCAGGCAGCTGGAGCTACAGGGAGATCCTGTCTCAAAAAGATTATATGTATATATTTCTGTCATTATTTCCTTTGAATCCAGATAGAAATAAAGGTTCTAAACAAATACACTATTTGGGAGCCACTATTCTCAAATTTCAAACACCTAAATTAATCAATGTTTCTGATGAGTTACTCAGGTCGATTTTTCAGTTTTTATTGTTATAATCTACTAGTACCTAGTCTGTAAACTTTCAGACACAATTTGATGTGTCACACAGGAAAATGAACAGGCACAAAACAGCAAATCCCTCTCATTGAATGCTTAGATCCTAGAATAGTAATTCTTGATTATTTTGTGTGCATCTGAATCACCCAGAAAACATAATGTATTTGCAGTTATTGACCCATCTTTGGGATTCTGAGTTAATTGTTAAGATGTGTTCTCCGGCACAAGGGTTTTGATAAATGTAACAAACTAAAATGTTGAATTTACTTCAGCCTGCTCAATGATCACATCTAGAGATGTATTATGTTACCTTAACACATGCTTCCATAGGTAGCGAGTTCAATAAGACCAAGAAACCACAGGAGGGTGACATTCAGAGAAAGGAAGTAGGTATTATTAGTGGAAATAATGCCACTAATATTTACCTGCTTGTTTTATTGATATTAAAGGGTGATGTTTTCTTGTCCTGACTCTAATAAGTAGAAGCCATAGAAATAAAATATAGGCTTTACATATAGGTCTCTGTATTTATTAAGTAAACATGTTTATATTTGGGTAGCCTCAACTCCCAGCAAAAGAATATATATTGCAAAGCAATCACAAGTGATTCTAAAGATCACTGCTAACTTAATGCCTGTGTTGATGCAACACTTTATCCTGAGAACCTTATAAGGAAGATGTGTGCAGCTGCCATTTAGCCAGATAGAATTTGTTGAACTACATAGCATGTACGTTTAAACACAGGATATTTTTGTGTAATGATCTTTGTGACCTGCTAAACTCTTTTTCTTTGAAAAACAATAAACAAATTAAAAGAGAAAATACTTAAGATTCTGAAAAGTCACTAATATGTTGGAAATGGGTAAAAAGGACAAATGGCTTTGGGGATAAAATAAGATGCATTATAAACACTAAAACATATAAAGTTAAAATATGTTTTTTAAAGTGTAAACCAGTATGCCATAAACATTGCTTTGGTACCTGACAATGGACAGTTTAGGGAAAGAGATTTTCTTTCTATTGAGCTCTATGTAGGAAGGGTGGATCATGACATCTAAGGAACTCAGTATTTAATTAGTCCACTCTCTCTTATACACCAGTAGCTTTCATAATATTTGAGGAAACAATCACCTGAAACGAACCCAAACTACTTCCTTTCATGCATATATTCTCACATTATGTAATCATTTTTAGACAATTGTTCTCTATGCTCTGCCTTTATGTCAAGAGCCCAAGTATCACTTGGGAAGTTATCATACTCTCATTTTTTTTCAAATGTTATCCAGATTTGTTAAATCAGAAATTCTGAGGAGTTCATAATAATGCAAAATTAAGTAGATCATCTAAATGTTGCTGGTGCAAACTGCATTTCTTAATCCTCTTTAATAAGTGTAGATAAGGAAATAAATGTGATGTTGCTCTAAGGATAACAAGAAATGAGTCAAAGCAAGTTATACTCTGGGCAGCACAGGAGGGAGTCTTCTAGTGAGCACTGACAACATCACATGTTCTTTTGTATCATCAATATCAACATTACCATCTATTGTTGAGAACAAGTAATGTCTACATATCAAGCAGGGTAGGAGATCATCTAATTTAACCATCATAATAAATTCAGAAGGATTGAATTTTTAAGTTTCATCTCTATCTTATATGACAAAACTGAGCCTTGATGAAATTAAATGGGTTACTCCAAAGTTTATTCAGATAGAATGAAGGAAAATCGATTTGATTCAGGGTGTGTGACTACAGCACCCATCTTTTTAACTACTGTTTTTCAGTGTTATCTCATAGCTCCTTTGAGCTAAGAGTATCGCACTTTTGGTCAAGGAAACAAAAGAGTATTAAATGACTAATTAAACTATGGCACGTGATCAAGGTAGGACATAAAATATTTTTAAAAGTCTTTAGATTCTGAATGAAGAGACTGGGGAAAGAGGGATGTTGCCATAGCCAGAAGCAGAAATTTGATCCCCAGTACCACAAAACAAGTTATTCATTTGTTTGTTTTGTGGTACTGGGGATCAAACCCAAGGCATGAGATACATCCTCCAGACTCAGGATCTTTGAGGCAGCACAACACCCTGAAGAGCTGAGGGGCTGTATTGAAATCATGGACGTGTGAGTGGACAGAATCCTAGCAAGGTAGAGAGCAACACCAACATGCATATGGTCTTTCTGAAATCCCTCTACAGAACTCAGACTCCAGGAAGAGACAATTCTTCTCCAGCTCCTGTATAAGTACAGGATGGGTGGCTTGCTTTCTCCATCAAGGCAATGTGGTTAAGATGAGACTATAATAATATTCAAATCAGACAGAGATGTGTATCATGCACAGTTGTAAGCCAATAGGGAGCCTTGATAGGTTTGTATTTACACTGAATTTAATCTTGCTTATAACAAAATTATTTACAACTGCTTACTAGTAATATTCAAAGTATATGGGACAATGAATAGATGGTATTTAATCATTTATAGGCTCTTCTCCATTTCTTAATATTAAATTAAACTTAATATCATTTTCACTGAGTTCTGCTTCTAGGCTTCTAGTCATGTTTATAGCTTCAACGGACATAGACAAATGGGGAAAAAGGAAGAATTTTGATATTTAATGATGAGTTTAGACCTAAACATAAATCTTTAAAGTAGTGATTCCTAAGGTAATAGGAAAACCTTTCAACCCATTAGAAATGTTCCCAGATCTAATTCCAGGTCTGCTTGTCAATCAGCTACTCCATAAACTCTGGTGACCTTGAGCATGTAACTTATATTGAATGACCTTCTGTTTCTTCATCCTGAAACCAAAGTTTTAGTGTTCAGGTTGTCAATCATATTTCATGTAGGACAATACAAAATGCGTATTTTAGTCTCTAGGAAATTTATAATAACAGTGAAAACTCTGAAAGTAATAAAAAGTGTAGAAATGCCATAATGAAGCAAGTTTTTTCATGTATTTTCCATTATAGTGATACATGGTGTTAAACCATATCAAAAGGTAAAGGAGAAAAAAATCACAAGATCATGTCACTGATTGGCTGTTAGATAAAAATCTATCCTAAAGAGTCTTTAGAATTAATAGGCTAGTTCATTCTTCCCTTTGCTACTGAACCAGGTAGACATTCTCCTTGTATTTTGGGGCAGGTGTGTGTGTATGTGTGTGTGTGTGTGTGTGTGTGTGTGTGTGTGTGTGTATGCATGTCTGTGTATATACTTGATGTACTTACAGGAATTAGCAAATTGACTGATTGACATGTTAATACAGCTTTAGTTATGTTTACATGTTTTATGTGTTTTCTAAGATCTCAGCTCTATTTTCCGTTGCCCTAGGGCTTAGGCTCTCCTCAGTAGTCTAGAGGGAAACATTCTGTATATGTAGTAGAAATGTTTATTTCTAAGGAATAAGCTGTAGGCCATTGCAATGGACTAAAGTAGAAGTCATGTGACTAGAGAACCCTTGTACCAGGTAGACACTGATATGTTTGCTCCAAGATTCAATTTATAGTACAAAGACCTGAGAAGGAGGCAATAGTTTAATGATGCAATGATCAATTCCAAAACACATTAATAAAAGCTATAGCCAACCTTTGCCACACCACTGACTGCACTGGAATCCTGACAGGGGCCCTAAGGCCATACTTCATTTGCATTGAATTTACATAAAATTGTAAATGGAGAATGCATGAACACAGCCCCAATATTTATTAGTGTTCAGATCTTTCCTGGTCAATGGATTGAAACTGTAGAAGGTTTGACTTTGCTTGCAATAAAATTGTGGAGCTAATCAGCTTTCATTTCAAGGGGAAAGAGACTCAAGAAAGCCACAGTTTGTGGGCATGGGTATGCTATTTAGGGGTTTTAGTCCTCTAAAACCATGACTCAGATGTGCCCTTAAAAACCCCAGTGTAGAAAAAAAATTGTCCCTTATGATTTTACAAACACGATTTTTAGACTTGCTCACGGTAACCTATTAAAGGAAGATACAAGCTATACAGAAAGCTAACCAAGTGAGAAGGCATCAAGGCCTCTGAGAATGTTTGTTTTTCCAAAATTTTGCTATCACATAAACAAATAATTAATGGCAATTTGGGAGGCAAAGACAGATTAAAAACTCAACTTCTTAAATTCAGCAAAGCATGAGGTACCTACTGGAGTTAGTGAACTTCCTAAGATTATCACCATCTTGCATGCTTTTTTCTTTATTTTACCCTGCTCCAGTAGCTGAGATTTTGCTGTACTTTTTCTTACTCAAGGCTAGATTAAAAGCCACTAAATTATCACACAGTGGAAATATAGTATTCTTTCCCCTCTTAGTGGTTCAAGTCAATCGTCTAAAAGAAAAATATATATCTAGTATAGTAGTCTATTTGAGATTTGTTTTTCAGAAAGACTCTTACAAACATTTTGTTCATCCTGGTTGTTCCCAGGACCCACTCATTTATCCCACACTTCTCTTACCTTGCACGATCAAGTAAACTTGGGAGGTCTTAGGCTCATGCTGTGTCTGAACAGAGCATGTGTAGGAGCCCTCATCATAGACATCCACTTTCTGGATTCGGAGGCTGTACTCCAGAGAATGGCGTTTCTCCAGCTCAACTCGAGGATCCAGAGACCACTTGTCATGTCCAGCGAAAATGATACCAGAGCGGTTCAACCAGGCCACCTTTGAGTTCTTGTCTTCTACAACACATCTGACAGAGCAGAGTAATCATATTAGTACCTTACCATATCTGTATCTGTTTTCATTCTCTGCATGATCAGACTCAACAAGACCAATCAAGAAAAATAATTACATGCATAATGAATCATTGTCATGATATTTCTGGGAGTGCTAAGCATTTTCATTATTTCCTTTAAGATCTAATCACCATCCAATGGGTGAATGTCACTGTCATTATACTAGATTCGGTTCAACAATAAACAATCTGAATATAAGTAACACAGCCTGATAAAGTTAAATGATTCTTGACTTTCCAGTGTATTAGCCTATTCTTGTTCAGGAAAAGATAGCACACACAAAACTCCATCTGCTTAAGTATGTTGAGAATCATGCAGTTTATAAGGTGGTGCTTTACTCCATTTCCAAGTGTATTTATTATTTGATAAGTATTTCCTACAGACTTGCAAATCATGATCTGTCACTGTAAGAGTTAGACTATATTTCACTATTCATTTGTGACACCTAAGAACTTGGATTGCCCATGCTCAGGGATGAGAAGAGTGTGAACAAGTCCAAGGGTAAGCTGATAGATGTTGTATCAAAAAAATCAAAGCAAATATTATCTAGTTTAAGTCCTATTCCAGTTACTGAGGGCAGCAGGTTGCCTGATGATAAGATAATTTGCTACCAACATATCTGGTCATATTGAACAAATCAATCAAGAGAGAAAATAAAGGAAACAGATCTGTACTTCTTATTTCAAAGAAAATGAATGATAAATGTGTGTGTGTGTGTGTGTGTGTGTGTGTGTGTGTGTAGCCTTTTTCTGAGACTTAAAAAAGGAGAGAAAGAACAAAGGTTAGTAGAGAAAGGGTAAATCATGGAAAATGCAGTTTTTTCCTTTCAATTTTCTAGCAAAATAATCTGGTTAAAAAAACAACAACCAAGGAAACAAAAAATTATCTTCTCTCTATATCCCTATGGCAAGATAGATGCCAGTCCCACAGGAAGATGACCCAGCCCTGTTCATAGCTGCAGAGCCAGCTGCTCAACACTCTGGGGCATGAGAAGAAGGGTGGCAACTTTCAGGACCATGACAGCAGAACAATCAAAATGCCACATTTTCCTTTATTTTCTAGGTCAAGTCAAATACAAGTTTTTCTCCCAGGTGAAAACCTAGACAGTCTGCACCCGTGCATAGAGCATAGAGAGTAAGTTGACCAGAAATACACAGACTTTCCACATCTGGCTGTAGAGGCCAAGTTATATCTCTTCAGCAAGTAGAAATGTTGACTCCTTAAAACACTTTGTCCATAATGAAAAGACCTCCTTATCCCACTATTCTTGGGTAAACCGTATGTTTTATTTAGAGTGAAAATTTGACACACTGGGTGTCAAAATGCAAAGGTCTTAGTTTTTTTTCTTGTTTTTGCAAACAGCTCAATTTGGGTACCTGGTATTATCTTCACCTTCCAGAATGTGCTTCTGTGCTAGGCAGATATTACTGGGAATGATCACACCATCCTGCAATTTATGGCTACTCTACAAGGAACATAAAGCTCAGTTTATGGACAGATACTTGCTGTATCCTCCCAGATGTCACTTCTACTCTGCCTGTTAGCATTACTTCTCCCTAGTGTTGAAAACATCTTTCAATTCAGAGTCACTGAAAATTGACCGACTTCTAGACTATTGATGGAATTATAAATGCAGATTTTGACGTTTTTCTTGTCTGCTGTAAGGGGTGAAAATGAATCTATTTAAGTGTATTTTAAATCTCCAAGCCCAAATTCCCTTGCACTTTCCTCACATGTAAAGCTTTAACAGCAATAAGCAGACTTGCTATATCACCAGGAAGTGCTCTCAACATCCTTTAGTTCAGAAAAAGAGGCCACGATATATTTTCAAAAAACCAATGAACCCAGACCCTGTTCTGAGCTAGAAATTTAATAAATACACTTTTTGCCTTATTTATGTGAGTATTTCTCCAAACTAATCAAGACTGAAACAGGCATTTGGTTAAATACCTGTCAGGTCAACTAACATGAAGACACGGGTCACATGACTACCTATGCTCTGGACCCCCATCCCAAGTCATACAGCATCCACAGTAAACTGGATCAGTTTTCTTATCAGCATAAGGTAGAATTGCTAAGTCAGTTCTTTGGTATCATTTGGCATTTTAGCAATTTTTCTCCATGGAAAAGTTGAAATCACACACATCATTATTCCAAATTATCTTCTGAAAGTGTTCAGATCTATCTTACCTAAGAGGCAATTGACTATTTCAGCAGAATTGTCAGAGCCATAAAAATGCATCGACTGCAACACTGTATTATGTGGAAGTTTTGTCATGACAATCTACATAGCATCTTTTTTAACTTTCGCTTTTATCCTTCTTTATTTTTTTTTAATCTATCTCTTACTTGAGAACAAGTGAAAGGTGTGTTAGAATCCTGTCATACATTTTCTTACTGGCTCAGATAATTATCTAAACTCTAAGCATCAGAGAACAAAGAATGATGTTTTTAATAAAAGAAATTATGTCTCCTAACCCTTAGTGTTTCAGTTTTGTCAAAATTTCCCAAGTAAATGCATTAGCTCTATAAATTAGAAAATAATTCCTCTACAGCATGACTAAAATTTTACTAATGAAAAATGAGCAAATGCAATTCCATAACTAATCTACTTTTTAAATTTAAAAATACTTGATCTTTCAAATCTTAATAACTCATTAAGTCATAAATTGTAAACATAAGAAAAAGTTGCCAAAAGCACATATAATAATCTTAATTTGTACAACTCTGTATCTATTAAATGAACCAGTCATACAGGGTAATTCCAGACCACAGAATGCAAATGATCATCCTGGCATAAATACATATTCATCACTCACTGACTTGACAGTTTGCATCTGTGTATTAGACAGTCCTGAAGAGTGAATTAGGAGTAACCATAGCATTGTGATTGCCCTGAATTATTGTCCACATGAAATGCTGTTTCAATACTAGACAACATGCTAATTTAGAATATATACATATTGACTTTATCTCCCAAACAAGTCCAGATTAAAACAGGGAAGTGTTAGTGTTATGTATGGTTTGATTTAATGGAACGTTTTCTCAATGAGGTCATGATAATGCAAATAATCATCGGGTTAAGAAGTAGACTGTACTCTGAAAAAGACCTGGACCGTCAAGCCAGGAAGATGCATTGGGGATTGTCATAACTCTTCCGATGGTATTTGTAATTGGAAGCTGAGGCCCTGAGGGTATAGTAGAGGGGAGAGGGTGCATTCTCTCTCTCTCTCTCTCTCTCTCTCTCTCAATCTTTTTGTGCTACTATCATATCATGGGGGGGATCCTATTTACAACATCATCATACTCTATATTACATTCTTGTGTTAATAAGTTCATTAAAAACAATGGCCTTCTTGTAATTTACTTGCAGAGTTCTAAATGACTTAGCAGTATAAACATCATTTACAGGACTAGAGAGATGGCTCTTGCAGAGGACCCAGGTTTGGTTCCCAGCACCCACATGGCAGTTAAATATTGTCCATAACTCCAGTTCTAGGGGATTGGATGGCTTCTTCCAACCTCTGCCATCATTTCTTGGCACAAGTGCACTTATATACCTGCAGTCAATACAAGCATACATAAATAATAAACATAAGTAATAAATAAAATATTTTAAATATCTACTCAGTAGATACTGCTGAAATGTAGTCAAGACTTCGAATTTAACTTACTATTTAAATTACTATTTAACCAATCATTAAATTTTTACTGATTGTATAATACAAGAAGAATAAATGGATAGTAAGAAATAATTAAAATTATATGATCTAAGGTAGCATTTAAATAGAACTATTGGCCAGGTGTGGTAGCTCACACCTTTATTTCCAGAACTCAGGATGCAGAGGCAAGTGGATCTTTGTGAGATAGAGGCCAGCTATGATTACATAGTAAGTTCCAAGCTAGATGAGGCTACAGGGAGACCCTGTCTTAAAAAAATTAGAAGTATTGTATAATAGTAAAATGGAAATGAAAAATAGAGGGTTGGCAAGATGGCTCAGTAGGTAAATCACTTGCCATGCAAACCTGACACCCTGAGATCAATCAAGAGAACACACAGAAAGGTGAAAAGAAAGAATGAATTCCAAAAGTTGTCCTGCACATGTGCCGTAGCATGCATCTGGCCATTGTACATGCTATACACACACATATATGCACACAATGACAGCAATAACTACATAAACTTCTTTAAAGAAATAAAAATGAAGTGAAAGAGAAATAATATTCCATATTATACTGAGAAGAAAAATCACATCTGGAAATAATCTGTATTACAGGTTTAAAAAAAAATGACAAGACACATGTAGCACCAAATAAGTGCTCAGTAACCTTCTGTAAGTGTAAGCCCTTTAATATTGGGTAGATTACTTAACTAGAAAACTATAGTTTTGTTTTAATGCCAACTTTTAAAACAACAAGAGAGGTAAGGAAAGAAAACGTTATCTACCCTGTGTAGTGTATCTGAATCCATCGAAGTGCCATAAGACATCAGTGCATTCAGAAAAGTCTGAAGCACTGGCTCTCCTCAGACACTTTATGCCAGGCATAGTTTTCACATTTCCAGGAGCAGGTACATTGCACGGCCACACTGACAATCCCACACCACTGTGAAAGGCGCTTGGGCTTACACTTTTAAAACAATGAATGCAACTGGAAATGAAAAGATGTTCAATTGAGTGTTTAATAATTCATTCACATATTTGCTGACAGGATATCCATCACATAAATGATATATGCCTATCAAATATTAAACCTCTTTAAATGCTGTGGTGGTTTGAATGAAAATGTCCCCTATAGGCTCCAAGTGTTTGGACATTTTGTCCCCAGTTGATGGCGCTGTTTTGGGAGGTTTTAGAAGGTGTGGCTATCCTGGAGGAAGCATGTCACTGGGGGTGGGCTTAGAGAGTTCTTAAGCCTTGCCAGATCTCTAGTCGCTTTCTTGCTTCCTGTGCCT